GCACCAAAATTGAGTTTCAATAAGTTAACCTAATGATTGTTGTTGAATCGTAAATAAGTTAATGAGAGCATATTTCTGGGTATAAACGATATAGTCACTTTTTAATCTGAAAAGTTACTGACTCAACATACTTCGCTAGTTTTTTGAAATTAAAATTTAGACACAATTTGGATTTCATATTTTTTACTTGCGAAATTAATGCAAAACCTGTCTATCGTAGTTGCTTTTTCGGTGGACCATGCAGTCATTTTAGCAACATTAAACGGCAGAAGTCATTTTTTCGGCCGGTTTTTTGCGAGCTTGGTTAAGAAACACTTTCTTCATTATTAGTTTTCGATTGCGCCCAGTTTTCAAAAAGAAAAGCATTAAATTTTTTAAACAGGAAATTTAACCAGGTGAAAACGAAGTCACATCGTAAACTACAAGTTATTCTTTCTTTTATCTAATTCAGTGTTTTAAATTATTTTCTTTTTCCTGTCGAATGACTTAACTTAGAAGAGAGTTGAGTGTTTGTTGCTAAACTGTTGCTAAAAACAAAAAAGGCAATTATAATGCAAGATGTTAGACCCGTAAGTCTTCTGAACAGTGATACTAATTTTTTTCCATGTATTTTGCGAAAAATTGAAAACAATTTTTGAAATTTTATCAAGGACACCAATATATTTATAAAGACCAGATGCATACAGATGCATTCATCAACTTTTCCAACTACGAACATTTCGTGGAAGCTCTTGATAATTGTAGCCGCTTTTTCAAATAGCCGCTTCTCCAGAAAATAAGCCAAAGTAATGAATTTTTTGCTGAGCTTCATTCAAAAGTAAATTTGTACCCTGCTGACATTAAATACCTCATAAACATTGAACGTTTGGAAAAAATTTTATGCTTCATGCAAAACTACTGCAAGTAAATGCAGCTACAAATTTTTGCGTCAAAAAAGAAACTCTTTCTTCATATGTAGATCTATTGCTATTCAAGAGTACTGATCAAACCAAAATCTTTAATATTATGTTTTCTGCTTTTCATCTAAAAGACAACTTAATAAATTTGATAACGGAGCCAGTAAAATTTGGAAAAAATTTTATTTTGTAAGCAGTTTTTGGGGTGCAAAATGTTTAACTCTCTCAGTTTATAGTCTACACAGTTTTTGTTATGTCGCGCGACATTTAGTATAGACATAATTTTTGCTGATTCATGCTAGGAACTTGTAAGAAATCTATTGAAGAATCAAAAGAGTAACAAATATGATGTTCGAAAGGAATTTGATGTTATAACACAGCATTTGTAACGGCGATATTGGTTTTTAAAGAATACAAAAGAAACTAATGAATTCCCCACTTCATCATTCAATTTCAATATTCCCCTCGATTTTCAAGCTTTGTAAAAAAAATGATTTCATTGCTAATTTGAATTGCGAGGAAACTTATTTGGTAGCAGAAAATTTTTAAACAGAAAATTAAACCTGGTGCAAACGAAGTCATATCATGAACTATAAGTTATTCTTTCTTGATTTATGTCAGCGTTTTAATCATTTTCATTTTCCGGTTGAAAAAAAAACAACTGAGAAGAGATTTGAGTGTTTGATATTTTCCTTGAATTAATTTCTTAAAACGGATTCCATAACTTCATAAGCATATATTGAATTTAAACTTTATATCAAAGACTACATATGTTGATTATAGCACTTTTCGCTATCGAGGAATTGAGTGAATAGCCGGCCTGGTTAGAGTGGAAAGAAATAAAAAGAAACAGGAAGAATGGGAAGTTTCTCGGCTCTCTCTTAGAATTATTCTCGTTATATGCAATTCAAATAAATGGCAAGATTGTCCCGAATTCACCGTGCTGACGGAAGTCGAAGGCCTTCATGTTTTTTTTTCATCAAAAACAGCGGCGAGTCTTTTGGGTACTTCTATGATAGACTGGTTGCCACAAGAAACCAAATGTCGTACAGTAAAATTGCCAAGAGCTCGCTAAATACTAGTTTTTAGGAAGGTGCTTCTTCATGAACATGCCCTGGTGTATTTCCAAACAAATTTTATGCCTTTCTTTTGCCCGTCTTCCGTGAAAAATTCTGTTCGGCTACTAAAAACGGAAAGATTAAAAAAATCAGTATACTTTCGTACTCTTTTCATTAAATGAGGCAATTTTTTTTTATTCAAAATTTTTGGAAATCCTTGAAAACTGTTTTGATTTGTTTTTTAAAGGAAATAACTACTACTCTTTTCAATTTTCTGCCAATTTGCTAACACAAATAAATATTTTTCATTTTTGACAGCGCTGCAAATGCATCAACTAATTGAATTGCGCAACAGTTTATCGTGATGCTTCAACATCAAAAATTCATGAATTTATTTTTTTCTTCTTTTGTTTCGAGTGTTTTTCAGCGGATCTCGATAAATAAAAATTAAATCCTTGTGGGCAGCACAAAAATAATTGAAGAGAAAAATCACCTTTTTTTTGATGAGACGCTTTTAATCATCTAAAATTGTTTCGTTCGATTTCTTGTAATTAGGTCTTGTTTCCGTTAAATGCTGTGGTTTTTGAAAACATGCAACAAAAGATGATCGGACGACGAATTTTACTTGTATAAAATAGACTCAAAATTGCTCTGAAAATTCGAAATAAAACAGTCTAGACAATCTCCAGTCGAAAAACTTTGGGTTCACTACGTGAAAATTTGAGAATCAGATCAAATTTTTAAAAAAATTAGTATATAGTGTTTCAGATTAAAATATTTACTGACAAATGTGTAGTCTAACTAAATGAGATGCAAGTTTAGAAGATACAAGTTTGCTAATTGTACTAAGACTAGCTAACCAAACAATCATTAGTCCACTGACATTGTTTGAAGCAGCAAAAAACTTTTAAAAAACATCAAGTTTTTCAAACAAAATACAGTGTAAGTTATAGATAGTTGAAATTTTGGTTTAATTTTGGAAAGTTGGTATAATCATGGAAGTCCACGACCCTATTGCAGTTTATCCATGTCTGTACATCGGACATACTCTGAGCCAGGATTCTGAAATTGTTGAGATGTTTCGGAAGCTTTTCTAAGGCCAAACAAACTTTAGGTTCCATAGTTTGCTTCAAAGTGACCGTGGGAGCAACATCGACTTTTTTGTCAGAAACAATCGCGTCACACCGCGGAAGATTCTCATTGTTACTATTTACTGATATCAGAGTTTGTGTTTCCCCAGCATCTGTTTCTTTAATGTCGCTAAGTTGATATGATTGATCTGTGGAGCGAGAAGGGCAGAATATCTTCTTCGAAATTGAAAGAAGTTTAATCGAGTTGCATAATGTTGCGTTTGTTTTTTATTGAATCATCCACGAACCATTGTGAGAACTTTGAATTTGGAGTTTCTAAGTCTTTTTAAAGAAGCACCAATCCACTTGATAACCTTCGTCTTATTTGCCATGTTATTTTACCATTTGAACACTCATGTTCTGAGAGAACAGAAAATGATTTTCCACACCCTCCAACATTTTGTAGGATACCGTTCACAAATTTTATGACAGTCTCCTAAAACAATTGCCTGATTTTCATTTTGGATAGTCACTTCCAGTACAACTCGCCCCGTGAAAACATTTTCACCAGAATGATTGATAATGCAGCTTTCTCGTTATATTATTGTGCTTTGATTAGCTCAATTTGGTAGCTGGAAAACTTTCACTGCGTCTAGGTCATTAAAAACAAATGGCAGATTTTTGATTTCGATCCTGATGGACAGTTTCTGGTAAACGTTATTAGGTTTTTGTCATTGGGATCCAATTGGGAAAATAGTTTTGCCCATTTTTAGCAGTTCATGACTCTTTATGCTTGAGATAAACTGTTTTGACTCCTTGGTATCGAAGTCAAAGCTCTAAGTTTTTTTTGCTTGAAAATGTTTTGGAAATCGATTTTTCCAATCATTGTAATTGGAAATTGCGTGAGTACTTCAAATGGGAATTATCTCATTTCCAATATAATACTAGTAGACAAATCGTTTTGAATAAGGGAATTAGTTCAATTAACTGGATTTCCTCAACTTCCTCTCTTTGTGACAGATGGCCCATCAGTGCTGATTTGCAATCGTTTTTTGGTTACCTTCAGGATTTGTGTCAACAAGAACTTTACGTTCTGTTGGGTTTTGTGATTCTCGAAACAGTTCATCTGACATTGTTTTCTTTAAAGGCACTGCGTCTGATTGTTAAGCTTGATTTTTTTTTCTTCAATTTTACGTCCGTTGAATATCGCGTTGTTCTTATGTGGTTTTACAGTTGTAGTTTGTCTTTTTGAATTTTGTTTTATTTCATTTTCGTCGAAAGTCAAACGGGAACTAATATGATGGAGTGGTCCTTTGAAAACAACCAAGTTCTTTGAGAATGAGACACCTAGAGCTCTCAAATCCTTGAATAATTATAAGTTTGCAATCAGAAAAATGTTGCGGTCTATTTTCAAACAAAAATCGTTTTTCGTTTTTCTATAGAATCTCTTCCTCGCACATCTAAGGCGAAAAATTCATGAAAAGGCACCAAAATTGAGTTTCAATAAGTTAACCTAATGATTGTTGTTGAATCGTAAATAAGTTAATGAGAGCATATTTCTGGGTATAAACGATATAGTCACTTTTTAATCTGAAAAGTTACTGACTTAACATATTTCGCTAGTTTTTTGAAATTAAAATTTAGACACAATTGTGATTTCATATTTTTTACTTGCGAAATTAATGCAAGACCTGTCTATCGTAGTTGCTTTTTCGGTGGACCATGCTGTCATTTTAGCAACATTAAACGGCAGAATTCAACTTTTTTTTTTTTTTTTTTTTTTTTTTCAAATTGTAAATTAAATTTGTTTAGTTAAGAGTTTCATAACTTCTCGGCAGGTTAAGAGTTCAACTTTTCGGCCGGTTTTTTGCGAGCTTGCTTAAGAAGCTCTTTCTTCATTATTAGTTTTCGATTGCATCCAGTTTTCAAAAAGAAAAGCATGAACTTTTTTAAACAGGAAATTTAACCAGGTGAAAACGAAGTCACATCGTGAACTACAAGTTATTCTTTCTTTTATCTAATTCAGTGTTTTAAATTATTTTCTTTTTCCTGTGGAATGACTTAACTTAGAAGAGAGTTGATTGTTTGTTGTTTATCCCCTGAAGTAATTTCTAAATACGGATTCCATAACTTCATAAGGATAATTTGAATTTAAATTCGATAGGAAAGACTATATTTGTTGAGTTTAGCATTTATTGCTATCGAGGAGGTGAGTGAATGGCCGGCCTGGTTGGATTGGAAGGAAATGAAAAGAAACAGGAAGAATGGGAAGTTTCTCAGCTCTCTCTTAGAATTAATCTCGTTACATGCAATTCGGAGAAATGGCAAGATTTACCCGAATTTACCGGGCTGACGTACGTCGGAGGCATTGACATTTCTTTCATCAAAAACAGCAATGTGCGTCTTTTGGGTAACTCTATGATAGACGGGTTGCCAGAAATAACCAAGTGCCGTACCGTAAATTCGCCTAGAGCTCGCAAAATGCTAGTTAGTAGGAAGCTGCTTCTTCATGAACATGCCCTTGTATATTAAACTTTAAGGTCGCTATAATTTATCGTTTATGGAATAAAAATAAAAATGGATTAGAATAAAAATCTAATCATTCTGCCAAACAAACAAAAAACTTTTTCTTATATATGAACAAATGATAGATTTTTAGCTCTTTTTGAAGAAGATTTTTTGTATTAAATAACAAAACAGCTTGTATGCCAACATAAATGGTCAGTCGGAATGCCTTTTTTTAACCAATCAAGGATAAAAATAGACATTGAGGGAAATCATTAGCGATAATTTATTGTTTCGACTACCCCTAAAGAGGTTGAGAAAGAACTATGGTGTAGAAAGTTTTTTTGCCGATTTTGCTCAGAGGGAGCTCAGAGGGAATCAAGTGTGGCAGCATATTAAAACCCTATAAGTCGTGTTTGAGATTCCGAAAAGAATTCCAAAAAATGGAAGAAATTTTTTTTTTGAAAAATTCAAAATTCCTTTTTTAGGTCACGTAGAAGGTGATTTTTAGAACTTTCAAATTTTTATGGAATTTAAAAAAGTTTTCAGTTTTTTTGGAATTTTTTTCAGAACCTCAAACACGAATTATAGGGTTTTAATAACTCCATTTTGTCAGTCGCACATAAATGTCGTTCTTATATAAATATTGCAATTGAGATAAAAAAGATAATTGGTTGCTGGCTAGTGGCACAGAATGTTCCGACCTCGCAAAATTTTACAACCAGTGTAAAATTTGCGTGGCACGAACATTCTGTGCCACTAGCCAGCAACCAATTATCTTTGTATCTAAATTGCAATATTTATATAAGAAGGATATTTATATACGATTGATAAGATGGAGTTTTTTAAATATAACTTAAATGGCAGATAAAATCTAATTATACTTTTAAAGTTAGTTTTTTGTGTGAATTAGAATGGTGTTTCAAATTTATTATAGGAAAAATGGATTTTGCAAAGGATTGTTGCGAGTCAATCAAATTTATTTGAAGTTTTATCTTTTGTGTCACCGTCGCTTTACAATTTTTCTTGCAACAAATTTATTTGAAAGGCTAAAATAGCTTTTATTTGTCTTAACAGGTGGATGCTTTCGTTGCATTAGTCGTGATACAGTTTCCGTCCCTAGAAGTAGTTTACAGACAATGCGAGGCAGTGAAACTTAAAGAACCTTACATCCCTGGGTTCTTGGCATTCAGGGAAGTGGACCATTGTATTGTCATGCTAAAAAATTTGCAGAAAGTTAAACCAGAATTTTATCCTCAGGCTGTTTTCCTAGACGGGAATGGGTACTCGTTTGAAAAGTGAATAATTTAATAACTTGTTTTTTTTTGTACTTGCTGTGCTTTGTTGGAATGGGAATTGTTGGTTTTAGTTAATTGACCCTGAGAATTATCGAGTTCTATATTTTCCGCAATGAATACGGCTCTCTTCTACGCTTATTGCATCAATGACTTCCAGAACTTAGAGTTTTCAATTTGTAATTCAAATTTGACTTAAGATTTTTAAATTCAATTATAAACGAGTACTCTATCGTTAGTCTCCTTCACCCACGTAAATTTGGACTAGCTTGTCATCTGGGTGTGAAGATGGATGTACCTTCAATTGGCTGTGCCAAGAACCTCTTTCAAATGGAAAATATCGCTCGCGACGAAAATCACAAAAACCAAATTGACTCTTTGAAATATGCAGGAGATTACTTCAAAATCTTTGATAAAGACGGAGATGTTTTAGGCGCTGGCTTGAAAACTGTTGATAGAAGTTTCAAACCTATTTATGTTTCTATTGGGCACAAGTTCGATCTCGAGACTGCATGTCGACTGGTGACTAAATGCAGCAAGTACCGAGAACCAGAGCCGACCAGATGGGCTGATATTTTTTCACGAGAAGTCATACGAAAATTGCCCTGTGAATCTATAGAAAATTAGCAACAGAAAAATGATGTTCCAAAGTTTTTACTCTTGCGATAAGCAAGGTTGTTGCAATCCGTCACTAGACTTTTTTCCCGTAAATAACTTTGTTCACAGAATGGTCAAAATTAGAAATGAAATGTAAACTTAGGTTCAGTTCATAATGAATTCAAATTTCTTTGCGTGCCCGGCACACTTGGCCTGGAGGTAACGAATAGGTCTAGGACGGCAAAGGTCCTGGGTTCGAATATGACAGGACCTTTTTTCAAACGGGAAATATTTCGTTTCAAAAAAATGTCAGCTCATTATTTCGACCTTTGTATTCGGGTGTGTTTTAGTTATTTTTTTTTTGTTTTCCATGCCAATCAGGTTCCACAATTAATCATCGGAATGAATTGAGTAATATATCATATTAAAGCCCTTTTAGTCGTGATTCGAACATATAAAAATTTTGAAAAATTCTCAGTTTTGAGAAAAACTGGTTTGAAGTTTTTGATTTTGGTCTAATTTCGAGCAAATAAAGGCAAGGGAGCAGGCTCAAAATAGCCTATTAATTCTGCAAAAAAAAAGAAAAACTTTTTAATTTTTTTACTTTATGACAATCTTTTTGTGCTTCTAATCATTTTTCTACAAATGTTGTTGCCCAGTTTGCGCATTTTACTATGACTGTCGAATATGCGTAAGTTGTAGTTTTTCGTTCAGATCCTTTTATCGCACCACGCACGCAGAAAAAAATACTAAATTGAAAAACCTTGTTCTTTTGCGTGTTTTAGACTGGTCGGATTAATCTGTGCTGTTTGTACAGTAACTGGGTATCATTGTTGTTTGTCTGCTTATGGTTTGTCGGTTTAGTTGCCACATATTAGAAATGTTTTTTTTTTTGCTGTACGCAATTTACCTTTAGTGTTTTGATATACTTCTGCTGGTTGTTTTTCGGTTTAAATCTTTATTCTGCCCAAATGATTTTGGCTTATATTTTATTGGATCAATAGGTAAATTTTGAGTCGTTCCATTTCAATCAAAATTTCAATCAAAGACCTTGTATTGTACCCAAATATCGTACAATGTAGCGTATGATTACTGGAATCATGTAGGGTTTACTTTTGCGAAAGCAAGTGTCTTGTAATGGGAAACTAGTCTTTTTAAACAACTTTACTTACAAATCTTGCTTGCTTTTCTTACTTGCTTTATTGCCTTTGCACGTTTTTTTTTTGCTGTACGCAATTTAATTTTAGTGTTTTGATATATTTCTGCTGGTTGTTTTTCGATTTAAATCTTTATTCTGCCCAAATGATTTTGGCTTATATTTTATTGGATCAATAGTTAAATTTTGAGTCGTTCCAAGATTAGCATACTTTTGGAGCTCCTCTTTGGTTTGACAAATGCTTAAATTACAGTTCAAAGTTGGGGCCTTAACAATTTGTTTATTAGTTTTAAGTTTTTTTTTGAAATTGTTTCGGTTGCAAGGTTTTCTGCTCAGATATTTTTGGGTTTTTTTACCGTTTGTTTAGTTTTATTCTGATACTAATTTATTCTTCTGTTGTCTTGGCTTGTTTTGTTTGAAATTTAGTTTTAGTAATTTTGATAGATTCAGTTTTTTAAACGTTTTTGAAAATTTTTTCGATGTTTTTTTTTCATTTTGCGGCTTTTTTGTATCGAAAGTGGTGCGAAGCTCGGCTTAGCCTCTGTGTATGAATTCCGATCCTGGTATTTGAAACTAGACGGTATATAGCAGTGTGAAGTCTTGAACGTTTGAACATGATTAACGTATCTAATTTAGTTTTTGCTAGTTTTTTTCTAAAAAAATCTTGAGAATCTTTGATCGACTCGCAATTTCAATCAAAGACCTTGTATTGTACCCAAATATCGTACAATGTAGCGTATGATTACTGGAATCATGTAGGGTTTACACTTGCGAAAGCAAGTGTCTTGTAATGGGAAACTAGTCTTTTTAAACAACTTTACTTACAAATCTTGCTTGCTTTTCTTACTTGCTTTATTGCCTTTGCACCCTAAGGTGAGGGGTTTGAGTCCCGGCCTGACTTTGTTTTTTTTTCAGTATGTGAGCAATTGAAATTTTTTTTCGGCAAGAATTGAATTATCGGACTTTCGTTTGTCTGCTCAAGTTTTGGCGACTGATTTGCCACATCACAGATTTTGCTTGTGCTGTAATCAGCTTTTATTGTAGATGCAATGCAAGTGTTGTTCAATATAGTTTCAGGGCACATTTGAAAACTTTTTAAAATAATTTTTTAAATCACTTTTTTGGCTCAAAATGTGTCTGCTCAAAGATTTTCGGCTTAGTTGCCTTATCACGGTCTTTTTCTTCTTCAAAAGCAACTTTCGTCAAACGTCAAAGTGCAGGTGGTGTTCGAGGTAGTTTAAGGGGGACTTGAAGTTTTTAAAATTTTTTAAAACTAAATTAACTTAACTTAATTTAACTTTTTTCGTAAGCTTGTGCCTGTTAAAATATTTTCGGCTTGTTTCTTCTCCGCTTCGTCCCTGTGTAAATTTTTCAATTCACGTCTTTTTTGGCTAAATGAGCGTCTAATCGAGTATGGGTTACTGCTAAGCATGGGCCGAAAATCCTTATTATGACGCTTGCAAAAATCCTTGCTGGGTGGGAACATTGTCTGAAACTGGGTAGAAGCATTGTCTTCGGCTATTTTAGTTTTTTTTTAAAAAAAATTGGCTAAAACAAATAGTTTTTGGAATTGGTGAAGTTTTATATTATTTTAAAGCCCTTTCTATCGTGATTCTAAAGACATTAAATTTCCAAAAATTTTTCGCAGTGTCGGTAAAAACCGGCTTGAAATGTCTAATTTTCAGTTAAATTACGAGCGAAAAAGCAAGCTGCAGGCTTATTTTAAAATGATACTGTATGAAAATTGTATTCCAGCCGTGAAATTTTAGTTCTACTTCAGCACCTTCTTAGTTTTTTTGCGTCTTTTTGGGAATGAATTATTTCATATTTTAGATTTTATTTAACAATTGTTCACTGTTTTTGTTCACTGCTTTGTGAGCAAAGTGTATCAAGACCAGTCAATTTTTTCCAGCCGACTTCCTTGTTAAATTTTTTATGCAAATTAGTGCAAAATTGTTTCTACTATGCAGCGTAAGCCAAGTGGATCCGCTTTATCAAGGCGCATTGTTTGTTGCTTAATATCTATGAATGAAGCGGGAGTGAAAGCAAGTGAGTTTAGGACGATGCGTTCGAGTTCAAATCGCGTAGGTTACAGGAGGTTTTGGTATTTTTTTTGAGGTTACAGGAGGTTTCAGAGCTAGTGAGCATGCAATCGGAAGCTAGAAGTTTTTCCCGCACGCAACTCGTCTCAAAAGTGTGAAATAAAATGATCTTGTTTTAATTTGAAGTCTCGGATTTTATCAGGCCATTCTAATTTTGCCCAGAGGTAAGGGACACGCCTTCGGAACAAATGGTCAAGGGTGCGACCAGACCTTCTTTTTCTTTGATATTGGGCAAATTTCAATGATAGGATTATCTTTTATTTTCTTATTTTTATTGCTTTATTTTTCAAAACAATTTAGGGTACGACCAGACCTGCTTTTTTAATATTGGACTAATTTTAATGATAGGACTATTTTTTATTTACTATTTTTGTCGCTTTTTTTCAAAAGTTAACTTTTTCTTCTAAATCAAACAATTTTATCTATGATTGAAAAATTGATCTGTAATTTGTACGTTTTGCAAGTTTACCAAACCTTATTTTGTTTAAATTAGCCTGTTTAATATTTGCGTGTTTAAGGAGGAATGGGCCGTAAAAAACTTTATAACTCAAATTTTTCATTGACCACACTTTGTTTTTGGGTCCATGGGCGTTACCCAAATATTGTCGGCTTAATTGCATTTGGGTGAAAGGTTTTGAATGCATTTATGATGGTCTTGATTGGATTTCTTGACAGTTTTTCCTCAAATTGAACATTATTCGAATCAAATGATTGAACTTTTTTGAAGACTTACTGGTTTTCGTCTCATTTAATAGTTTCCGTCTGGTTTCTGTCTGTCGGTTCACAATTCTTTGTGCTGTTGCAAGTGTTAAAAAGCTCCGCTTCACCTCTTTGTATAGAGTTTGATTTTATTTCAATTCATCATCATTAGTTTCTTGCATGTGTGTATATTTTTTTTCGTTTTTTTTTTGGCAATGTTTGGAAGAAGAAGCCTCCCCTTTACTAAAAAACTGCGTTTCCTCTGAGTTTTGAAAGCGCAATGAATGGATCGAGTTGTCTTGGACGATATTTCAAAAAGTTCAAGTGTTTTTTAATAAAAAATAAAGCAATAATTGAAATCAAGCCATCTGTTTTTTTTTGCTGAAATTGATGAGTTTATTTGGGTTGAGTTAAATTTGAGTTTGTCAAAAAAATTTTGCAGTTGCTTTTTAAACAAACAGTTGTTTTCTTTAAAATTTTGCTAGACGAAAATTGGTATTGGTTTTAGACGCAAATTATGTCAGTAGACATCGCATTCCAGCGGGAAGGGTTTTCATAGAAATAAAAACTTCAAAGTCGCCGATGGGCGCGGTACGCGTGCGTCACCGCTTTGCAGCGATAACCGGCTCTAACACGTTGGTGTGACTGCGGCGGTGAGGATATTGCGAGTTGTCTTTTATTGCGAGTTGTTTTTAGTTGTCTTTTTACGATTTTGTTGAAAAAAAAATTGATTGATGGACTCAGTAATTATGAAGTAAATTTTTGATTATGAGACGGCTTAAGTTTGATATAGTCTTGTAGTTTCTGACGACTAAATTTTTCAGCTAGGCTTCTGTGTACGTTTTTTTTTTAATTTGAAGGGCTTAAGATTTTTAAACCAAAAGAAAATTATTTAGTTTGTGATTAAATTGAAAGGTTTAAGATTTAAAGGCGAACACAACATTTTTTTAGTGTCTGTGCTTGCAAGTCTCTTGAAATGTTTTAAAATAATTGTCTGATTTTTTCTAGATTTGAATGTTAGCAAAAAAGGGCCCTAATCCGAAGGGCTCAGTGCCCCTGATTTCAGGGGACGTACCCTTCTACAACAGCAGAATAGCAGCCCCAAAAAACCCAAAGATGGTCATGTCTCCCAGACCACCCAAGGTGAGTAAAGTGCACTGGCGGTACCATCAAGGATGTTTTCGTAATATCAGGATATTATCATTTTTATTAAATTAAAACATTCAGTGCTTTTTAAATTTTAGTTTATTTTTGAATACCACTGCGATAACCAGGTGTGTTGAAAACGGGTACTATACTTTTTTCCGGTAAATAACTTTGTTCAACGGATGACTTTGCTTGAAATGGTGGTCATTTCCAACTCTGCATTTTGCACCAACTATTTGTTCAGGGTAATTAAAGAATTGTTTTCTTTGTTATTTATGTTCATTTTTGTTTGCAGGTGGCTCCTTCTGAGTTCATGCGTGAGATGGCCATGTCCACCGAGGAGAGACTGCAGCACACGCACACCATGAAGAGGCCTCTCATTCTGGAACTACTAGACATGGGAACCACCACTTACCAGAAAGTAAGCTAAAGTTCACTTTTTTTGTAATTTTAGGATTTCATTCAAAAAACATAGTAGGTTTTTGTCTTAATTTTTTTTAAGCACTTTTCAGACAAAAACAAAATTTTTATACAATATTTTTCGCCAATTTTGATTGCACTTTTAATGCGAGAAATGCTACTTATAAACCTGTTTTTTTTTTCGGGATATTGTGCATCAATTAGATATTTAGTTCGAATTCTCCAAACTGCAGAACCTTCGAAACCTCGTTCTCAACTGATTAAATGTCTCGTTTTTTTTCTTTCTAGTTCACAGACGTTCCCTTATCCCGCGCCATCTTCCAACCCTTCCCAAGTGAAATTATCTTCCAGCAGTACACCCCTGGAAAGATGTTTGAAGTGCCCCTTCTGCTGAGGAATGACGACAAAGTTCCCCGCCTAGTCAAGGTCACGGCCGAGTTTAGCCCCTACTTCAAAGTGGTCACGCCTTCCAACTCAGGGGACAAAGTGGCACCTGGCATGGCTGCCACTTACGTCGTTCAGTTTTACCCTGAGGAAAATAAGGTTTCTGTATATTTTGGGTTGTATATTAGAGCAGTTTTGTGAATTTTGCACCATTTAATTGCTGCGGAGAAAATATTGTTCTGACTACTAATAGGGGAGGAACTTTGCAATCGACTGTTTTTGTTTTCACGCAAAATCAGGTAACCACACCACAAATGAAATCAAATGATCAGATGAGTTCGATTGCTAAAAACTGAATCCCGTTCAATCGTGATTCGATCGATATTTTAAAATTTTTTATGGTCGAGACAGCTGGTTTAATATTTTTTTTTTACTAAGATTAGAGTGAGAAGAAACTCGTCGGGGGTCAAGTTATAGAAAAATTTTGCTAATTTTTTTATTCCATTGTAGGCATTTGTTTTGCAAAAATAACGGTATTCAGTTAAAGCATTTAATTTTTCCTAATACACCACAAAAATAGCCACACAAATTGAAAAGAAGAATGAAAAGAATTTTTTTTTTTCAAAAATAACTGTGGTCGGTACATTCTGTGGTCTGTATTTGTTGCAAAAAACCGGCAATTCTTATTTGTTCTGTGTTTTCTGTTTACGGCTACCACTTTGAAGCAACACTTCTATTAACTTAAAATAGTTGCGTCAGTCATAAATCGCCTAAAAATCCTGAAAATCAATTTCTATTATTTATACAAAAAAAAATTTAACTAGCCTGATCATGTTTTTTATTAGGACTATGCACACGAGCTAGTTTGCATCAGCGAGCGGGAGAAGTTTTCAGTGCCTGTGCGGTGTATCGGAGCGAGACCAGTGCTGGACTTCCCGGACAGCGTAGACTTCGGGAGCCAGTGTCCAGTCAGGTTCCAGAGTGAGAAGACTGTGCACGTGAGGAACATCGGATCCAAACAGGCCAAGTTCGAACTGGATTGTCAGGAGTGAGTCATTGTTGCTATTCCTACTTTTTCATTTAATTATTCATTGTTTCACTTATTTAGTTTTAACATTAATCCCTTTAGGGTAGGACATTCGCTCATTAAATCAGATGATCTTGCCAATTTCTCTGCAGCAAGTTATCATGTTGTTATGAATCGTCGGTAAAAGTGTTTTGAATATTCAATTTTAGTTATTCTTTGTTTTTTTTGTAGACCCTTCTCTGTGGTTCCCAGTGTGGTGGAGTGTGTGGGAGTGGGGGAGAGTGTGCAAGTGAGTGTCCTCTTCAACCCCCTCTCAGTCGGCCACTTCTCCTGTCCCCTCAAAGTAGCCCTAGACTCAGGTAAGCAACATATACACACAGCCACTAAATGCTTTTATATTCCCCACTGAGTTGGGGAGGGCATTTTTTGCAATTGTGTTGATGATATTAATCATAATAACCTTCTTTTTGCCCATCAGGAGAAAGTCTGTTCGTGGACCTCTTTGGGAGCGGAGTGGATCTGAACATCAGGCTGGACAAGAACACGGTGCTGATGGAGAGCACCTTCATCTCCCTCGCCACCCAGAGGACTCTCTCCATTTCCAACAAGAGCGACCATCTAGTCCACTTCAAGTGGAAGAAACTGCCCACTCCTCAAGTCGAACAGGACACCAAGCAACAGTCAGTATTTTGCAATAGTGCCATTAGATCAAGTAGCAATAGCTATCAATTGCTATTTACGCTTGCGATGAGTAAGCCTTATTGAATCGGAATATAGCCCCTTTTAGGGTTAATAACTTGTTCAACAGAATCACTTCAATCATTTTACATCTTAGTTCATTTAAAATCAAAAGCAAGGCGTTCATTCGCGCATGCGGCGTAGGGTTAATGCACCTGGCTAAAGAAACAATGGTCACTGATTCGAGTTTTTTCAATG